CTTTTGGTTTTTCTTTTTAAAAACATGGTAAGCTGTAGCGCACCCCAGTTTTTGTCGCAGCTTATGAGAAACAATAACACTAAAGATGCATATGCATAGAATTATCATGCAAATCAACTTCTGTTTTTGTAACATTAACAGACTCTTTAAATTTGGCAATACTTTAATTCTCTAAGAAGTGTTAGGGTAGTTGACCGTGTTTTGAAATTGTCTTTGTCTTGTTTGATACTTGAAAGGCATGAAAAATTTCCCCCCACATCCTCACCCTCTCCCAGGGGTCACTCCCTCCCTCTCTTCTCTTTGCCCTGCTTGCCCTCTGACCTCGCCTAGCTCTGCTGTTTCCATGGACTTCTGAATCTAATTAATGTCTTCGTGGCTATATAAATGAATTATGTAGCCAGGAGGATGTTGGAAACTTTGAAGAAAGTGCATTCCTTAGGGAAAACCTGGTTTTGTTAATATATATAATGGAATGCACATTTCCAGGTGGTAGGATATGAGTACAGTGTAAAACCTCAATCACACGCTCACACTCAATAAATATCCGTTGCCTGACAACAGACAAAATCTTAGAAGCATTGGATTTGACATCTGGGCAATTCTCAGCCATTGTGGAAGGTGGCTGATGGGACAGATTATCCATATATGTTGCCATCCCCAACTGACTTCAGCCACCTGACGGGCGTGGGCATATTGGCTTCCCCTCCCCCTTCCCGTTTCTAGTCAATTTACAACCCTTTGCAGGGAGTCTTCTCTCAGAGGATCTCTGAAATGGCCCTGGCTGCCCATGCCCAGAATGTTCTGCAAAGCTCTGGACAGCAGGAAAGTGAGGAGGAGGGGCCATAGTGAAGTTCTTAACCAAAGGATACTGTCAGGGAGCCCAAGGCAGAGATGGTCCCTATGCCCCATGTTTCCATGGAAACATAGAAGGAGTGATGACAGCCAGCACAGCCGCACCATCTGCTCAGGACCTGGAGAATGAAGGAAAAAAGAAAAACAGAAAGGTACCTTGGATCCCAGGCTAGAGCCACTCTGAGCTACCTGTGAAGAGACAAGGAAAGGCCTGAGGGCATTGGCACTCCTGGGTAGATTTAAAAATCTGCGCTGTTCTGGAGCTTGACATATTAACATCTAATTTGCAAGCAAAAAAGCCTGGAGGGTTTATTGGCAAACCCTACCCACAGTTTCAAATACCCTGGAAGCCTCTGGAAGGAGAAGCTGATTGAGTGAGGTACCTGCAGTTTCCCCGGAACAGGAAAGCATGGCTGGTGTAGTGAGAGGGAGGGAGGGCTGGAAGAGCTTGAGGAGGCTTGCATTGTCTTCCCGGAAGGGCATCCACAGAGCTAGTGCTTTTCTAGAAGAGAGGCAAGATGGTGAGATGATGGTGGTAGTGGTGATGGTGATGATGATGAGAGAGAGAAAGAGAGGGAGAGAGAGGAGGTAGAGAGAGAGAAAGAGGGAGAGAGAGATTCTATTGTGTCCTCGAAGCCATCTCTGAGTCCCAGCCACGTCTTGAGAATAAGTCATGAACTGATAAAGTTTCTCTTGGTCATTAAGCAGGGAAAACTCAGGGTGGTGCCACAGATTTGCCTCTAGGTATATACCAGAGGCTCCCAGGTGCAGGGGAGCAGAAGGAGGGTGAGTTCCTTGCCAAGAGCATGTGTGTGTACTGTGTTGAGCAGGATCTGTTTCTTACTGGCTTCGTTTTGTGGATTTAGCACAACTATCTGGCCAGCCTTGCAGGGAAGCTGGCAGCCCTCCTTTGAGAGGTCTCAGTGGCCTTCCTGGACTGGTGGTTCCTTCCGCTGTCAGTGGGACAAGCTGCTTCTCCCTCAGGAGAGCCCCTAGAGTCTTAGGGTGCACAGAAGCCACCCACAGTAGCTCCTATTACTATTATCATTTTAAAATTTAAGCAGTCTCTTGTTCCTTTACAAAACAACAAAAACAAAACAAAACCCAAACAAGTAAAAGACCTCAAACCCCCAAACAAAACAAAAATTCACCCAAAGGAACCCCCAAGCCAAGTGCAGTAACAACAACAAAAACCCAACAAACCCAAACCCCTTGACTTTTATTTCTGGCATCTGAATTCTAGAGCACGCCAGCAACCCACACTCTTTTCTCTCCTTTCCTTCCCTCGGCTCTTACCTTCCTTCTCTTCTTTGTCCTAAGGTTCACCTTTTCACTAGCCTCAGTGCTTGAATAGGTCAGACACCCAGTGGCTCTGTAATGAGAACAGCTCCATAAAGTATAAAATAGTAAGTTCTTCCAATAAAGAGTCTCATTAACTCGTCTACATTTTAGTCGGGAAAACTATTCATTTTCAATTTATTTCCATCAGAGCCTGGGCAAAAACGTTATCTGCGACATTTTGGGTTTCTTCCAAAGCCCCCATTCTCCAAGTGGGCTCTCTATTCACAGAAACATCTACCGGAAATAAAATACTAACACATCTGTCCTCTAGTTAAAGTCCCCAAACTGAAAAGTGCATTATTTGTGAAGAAACATTTTAAAAGCATCCACAGTGAAATTAGTCTAGGCTCAAGTACACTTAGATGTAAACATGGGGCCCCGGAGTTGAAATTCAAATATACATCTGTCCATTACTACATAGCTATTTTTTTTGGAGAGATCTTTTATGAATAAACCTCCCTCCAGGCTCTAAACCCCCTTACTCTCTTGCGTTTTCTGGGACCTGTTTATCTTCGGCCACTAAGAGGAGGCTTGAATCTGCATCCCCAGCCTCCAGCACGGCTTGGGATCAGCAGTAAACATGGTTCTGTTTGTTCTTCAGCGGCCTCTTTTGTATAAACAGATGTGGTGGGAAGGGAAGCCAGATCCCTGTGAGGGGCGGAGGTCTCCTTTCTGGAGAAGACTCCCAGCTGCAGCCAGGAGCCCAAGGAACAGGACACATTTCTTGTTCAGGCCTTGGAACTTGCAGTTCTTCCAGACAGGGGCCGTTCCCCCTCTCTCTCCTCCACCCTCCATCCCCAGCCTTTGTTCCTGGGAAGGCTGTCTCCATGTGATGTCTATAGCTCACTTTTGCCAGAGCAAACATTTCCAAGAGGGCTTATGCTAAGTAGGTATCTGTAAGGCAGATTTTCCTCCTTCTCTCCAAATATACTGTAGACTGAGATTTGGACTCCAGCCCTTCACACCTGTACTTTTTCCTATCTTCATATTCCCTTTGTTCTTTTGGTAGCCTTCGACTAAAAGGGGGGGGGCGTTTAAAGCAGGGAAGTTGTTAGCTTGTAAAATAACAATTCTGTTTCTACGACTGATTTGATGCAGACTCCGCCTTTATTTAGCGATTGATATTTTCACATCAGTTATGGATGTTAATAAAGGAAGAACTCCTCCAAAAGGGGGTGGTGGGTGGTAAAGGACTGCACCGAGAGCTTTGTGGTCCAGTTTCAGATAGGGAAAAAAAAAAAAAAAACCTCTGAATTGGCTTTTTGACTTTCTACCCGAACCCAGAACTTGGTTAGTTCTCCTTCAGGTGTGGGTGAATTCAAGAAGGGGCGCTCCTAGGTTGATTCCTATCAAAGGGGCTACATTTTTGGCGGCCCACACGGTGGCTCTTCTTGTCTAGAAAAGGAACAAAGGGCAACACACTGGAAAGGCCTCCCTTAGTTAGGCATGCGGGGTTTGGTGTAAGTAGTGAGCTTTACTTGCTGCTGCTCTCTCCAGGAATTCTGGGGAATCCGGAACCCAGGAGCCTTAGCCAAGAGCTTAGAGGAGCCCCCCCCCACCCCAACTTGGGTTCCTCGTTGTAGAGCAGAAGCGCAGAGATGACTGAAGACCCATTCCGCTCTACATCTCCAGTCTCCACTCTCAAAGAGTATAGAATAATGAGCGAGGGGGGAACATTCTTTCAAACCAAGGGAGTAATAATAGCAAGGACTTGATTTTTTTTTTTTTTTTTTAAACAAGCCACAGTGGTACTTTATCATCCTTCCAGCTGACAATATGCCACTCTGCAGACTGGAGAGGCGGCGGGAAGTTTGTAGTGGAAACCCAGAGGCTTTTCCAGGGGGAAATAAAAAGAAAGGAGGCTGATTCCTAGGGTCAGGCCGCCTGCGGGGTAGTGGGTTACCTCTCGCCCCGCCACCCCCAAACCCCGAGGCCAAACTGCAGCAGAGAGAGAGAGAGAGAGAGAGAGAGAGGGAGAGAGAGGTCTTCTTGGAAGCAGCTTCCTTCCCACTCCCTCTTTTATTTCACTTAAGTTACTGGCTCCAGATATTTGAAACGATTTGTTTTCGGCGCTGCCGTGGGGCTGCACAGTTAACTCTCACGGCGCCTGGGGCGGCCAGGGCATCTCCCTTCCCAGCACCCACCCCAGGGCTGCAAAGCTGCACACCACCCCGCGGCAGCGCCCCGCCGGTTCCGCTAAATTCGCAGAGGCCAGGGAAGTACTCGCAGGAGCCGGGGACGAGGGCGACAGGCAAGCAAGGGGCTGCGGCAGGCCGGCCCCGGCTCAGCAGAGCATCCCTCTGCACTCCTCCTCCTCCGCCTCGCGGTCCCTCCTGCTGGCAGGACGTCCCCTGCAACCCTTGGGGCTGCCGAGGGTCAGGAGCGATGGAGGGACGCGGGTGAGGGCGAGCCGGAGGGCCGGGGAGAGGACGCGGGACCCCGACGAGCCGCACGGGGAGCGCGGGGGAGCGCAGGGGCGCGCGGGGCGGGCGCGGCGCGGGGCTCACGGCGCGCGCGCGCGCGCTCCCCGGCCTCGCCCGCGCACACGCGCCTCCCGGAGGAGAAAGAGGCAGGCGGGCGGGCGCAGAGCACCGCGCCGGCGGCTGCAGCGGGCCGGGCCGCCGCGAGGGAGGGGCGGAGGGGCGGGCGCAGGCCGGGAGGGGGCGGCGGCGGCGCGTCGAGCTCCCGGCTCTCAGCGAGTGTGCCTGCGTGCGAGCCGGCGAGCGGGTGAGTGCGCCGGCCGCCGCCGCACGCCGGGCCGGCCTGGAGTCGGGGGGCCGCGGGGGTGCCGGGCGCTGCGAGCGAGCCGGGGAAGGGTGGCGGGCGCGCGGGCGGCGGCGGCGGCTCGGGCGCGGCCGGGATGCACCTTAGCGGGCGCCTTTCGTTGCAGCGCGCGGGCGGCCCGAGCCTCGGCGGCGGCGGCGGCGGAGGACACGGCGGCGGCGGCGGTGCTGACACCTCCCACCATGGACAGCTTCGACTTAGCCCTGCTCCAGGAATGGGACCTCGAGTCGCTGTGGTAAGTCCCAGGGCTGACCGCTCCGAGAGCCGCGGCGGCCCCGCGCGCCCTCACCTGGGCCGGGGCGCCGGGTGCCCGGGCCGCCGTGGGGGTGGGGTGGGCCGGGGGCGCCCGCCTAGCCGGCTCCTTCCAGCCTTGGCGGGCTGGATGCACGGTCGCCTGCCCGTCCATTTGCCGGGTCTCAGGTCCTGTCCCCTCCCCTCGGTGCTGCCCGCGCCAGCTCAAAGGGCCGGGGCTCTGGGTGCCAGAGGAGCGCAGCGGTGGAGGTAAAAGAGCGATTTTTTAGAACGTGTCACCGATGCCTGAGAATCCAGCCCTCCTCCCGCAGCCCTTCCTAGCTCCTTCCCTTCGGATTGGGCTCTGAGAACCCCAGGCTCACCCCCCGTGACCCCCTAGAGTTGGTGCCGCTGCGAAGTGCCTTGAGAGGATGCTCTCTAGACCGCTCCCTGCATGCTCCGAGTCTTGGCGCCTGCATCCTCTGTCTGACCTACCCACTCCCACTCGAGATGGAAAAGTGAGCACCCGGGCCAGGAGGCCAGTGTGTCTCCGCGCACGAATTCCAGAGGCCTTGGCCCAGGGAGCCTGGTTTCCCCGAGGCTCACAGTTCCTTTGCAGGCTTTCTTCACACCTCCCTGTGGCTGAACTCCTTGCCACTCCTCACCCCAGTCCCTTTTTGTCAAGCTCAAAGCTGGCAGCCTGGAATGCACTTGGGGGTCCCAGTTCTTGGGGTTCTCACATTAGGGAGCTCCTATAGGTAAATTATAGGTAGAAGCGATTTAATGCCAGTTGCAGTTGTCTGGGAAAAAAAAAATCCCATTGGCTGCTTCAGCATGCCTCACATTACCCCCACCCCCTTAAATGTTTTCAACCAGCCCTATTCAGGTGGTAAAATTACTGCTTGTATATTCCTGGAGGAACTTGTGTTATGTTTAATATTTACGGGGATGAACATCTGCTGGAACAAGCATATTAACTGCTCTGTGTTCTGCCTCTGGTAATCGCTGATTGTAGAGCCGAGCGGTTCCCTTCTTTTTAATTCAGTAAAGAGTTCACATGTGTCTGAAACTGCAAGCGGTGTGCACATGAATATGCAGTGCACAATTTTAAAGCTAAACTGCTGTATGATTTATGGCCCGTACGTCGATGGTATGTGGACATGTGGATCTTTTCAGTGATTTAGGCTTGCAGTGACTTTTTATTTTCCTAAAGACAGGTGTAACAAAAATAAACTAGACCCAAAGCTTGAGCGATATTGAGCAGTTTCTTATAAAAGATCCGTTGGTGACTGCAGCTTGCTCTGCACAATGCTAGCACCTATAAAATACAAGGATGGGCTCTAATGTAATAAAACTTGTAAATATTACACTGGCAACTTCAAAGAGCAAGTGCAGAGAGAATATGGAACATGTTATTACTCTATAAAAGTTGCTAATTACTGTGTTGCTGCTCCTGGGGTTATTTCAGCCTCTCATTTACAGATACCTATTATTTTACAGGCTTACCTTTTGAAATGTTGGTTTCTGGCACAAATTCAGTAGCTTTCCAGATAACAACTGTCTTTTAAAGATGACTGTTGCTTTTTCAAATCTAGGCAGGCTTATAGTCAAAGGGAAGAACTTGAACTGTTTGGACATATTTTTTGTGCTGCACATCCATTTTCTGGTTCAAATTGAACTGTATGGTGTTTATAAGTTGTATTTTGAGATTATCAGTGGCAATGTGCAGACCTTTGGGGGTAAGGGCTCAAGCTGTGTCTTAAGTCTCCAGCAAATTACCTGGAATGCTGTCACAGAATGTTTGCTAAACTGACTTGAAATTTACACCATCTAAATTGTTATTATTTCTTTGTTTTTATTTCTGTTTTATTTTATTTTATTTATTTTGAGACCGGGTCTCTTGATGTAGCCCTGGCTGTCTTGGAACTTGCTTTGTAAAATGGGCTGGCTTTGGACTATATGGATCACTTTACCTCTGTTTCATTAGTGCTAACGTTAAAGTCATGTACCACTACAGCTCCAAAGCATTTTTTAAAGCTGTTGTATGCTCACATATATGTATACACGCATGTGCGTGCACACACACACACATGCATACATGTATATTTGCATTATGAAAACACATAAAATTTCTTCATTATAGTATAGTAGAACAGCATGGCTTAAGAGAGTGTTTTATTTTGTGGATATAGGATTTACATATACAAAAGCTTATTTTCAGGTATATTTAAAGATGAACCAGACTATCTAGATGGAGTGTACATTTCAAACATGTGAGACATTTTCTTAGTTATGAATCACATTTTTGCACTGACATTTCTAACTCACTTTTCATAATTATTAAAGATTTTATGTGTACAGTTTACTTTTAAGCCCACGGGTGACCAAAAATACCTAGTATTTCTCTCCCCCCCTCTCTCTCCCCTCCTCCCTCTCTCCCTCTCTTCCTCCCCCTCTCTTTTTCTTCTTCTCCCTCCCCCTTTTCTCTTTCTCCCACTCTTAGCTTATTGTTGAGAGAAGGTCTTTGTGTGCAAACCAGGATAACTTCAAACTCAAGGCAACACTCTTGCCTCGGCCTACTGAGTTCTGGGTTAACAGGCATGTAGTACTCACTCCTAGTATCGCTGATCACTTTCTGTGTGTCTCGTGCTCTGGTATCCCTTCTTTTTTAGTTTGAATCTGGTACTACCTCAGAGGTGTTAAGTGATAGCACTCTAATTTTATAGATGAGAAAAAGGGAGACTTAAAACTGTTTGGTAACTATACTGAGATAAAAAATAACAACAGGCGTTTTAAATCCGAAATTAACCGAACAGTATGACTAACCAACGACATGGACATTGTATGTTTTAGCTCATTTATATCTCAACAGTAAACTTAGAAAGGAAGTACTGCTGTTGGTCCATTTGTTTTGCAGATGGCAAATTCGAAGATGGGGTGGTCAGGTACCTTGCCCGAGTTCACACAGTTCAGACTTAAGACTTAGCGTCAAGGCCTGCTTTTCTGATATCAGGTCTACGCCTTCCAGTTGGTGGAGAGTGGTTTTCAAAAGAGTTGCAAAGCAAGGCCTTCAGATTGCAAGTTAAAGTTGTATCTAAATATTAAAAGAGCAGTTCAAAAGAAAATCAGAAAACAGAATACCATGAGTTAGGAAATTAACTTATGAAAGGAGTTATAAATTTTAAACAAGGATCGCTCAGCATTTCCTTTATTTCATTATCGACCCCCCCCCAAAAAAAAAACCCCATCTGTCTTTGAAGAGAGGAGTTGCAGATTAATAGCAAGATACTCCCTTTGGTTCCCATCTTCCCCCTCTCTGCAGTTCATTAGTTTTGGGGCAGTTGATAGACACATGAGCCATTCCTCAGGGTCTTTAAAGTGACGGCCATCCTTCTTAACAGACTCACTTGTTTTTGTATTTACTTGATGTGTCTGTCTTCACTGGCCATCTCTAAAGTATAAGACCTTGTGTGGCTGCTGTGGGGGCTGCAGAGTTGGGTAAGACATGGGCTATGCACATTGCTGTCCTGTTTTATAGTTGGGCAAGAATGTGAGAGCAAAAGGAAGTTCACTGCACTAGAGAGTCAAAAAAAGAGATTGGGACTAGGGTGGGTGATAGAGGAGGTGAGGAGAGAAACTTTAATTTTTACTTATGTTTTTATTATTTTATTTTTACTTATATGTTTTAAATGGCTTCTATGGATGAGGCTGCCTTTGAACCAAGCTTTGGATGATGAATGGGCCTTTGCAGATGGTAGAGGAGAGATGACAGAGGCCAGAGGCTTGTGTGTGTGTGTGTGTGTAGGTGTACTTTTTATTGATCACAGTGAAATTATCTATACTGTGTATTTTTAAACACACAGAACCTGGTTATCAAGAGATGACTGGCAAATGTGCAAAGTTTTCCAAAACCAGTTTATGTACACCCCTCTCTAAATGCAAACACTTTTTCATTGCTAGGGAGAAAGCCGATCAAGGTTGAAATAATAAGTGTTAGGATCTTGCTTGTTACCCACTCTGTCCCATACTCCCACACAGTACAGCCTGAGTCAATGTACCTCCCTCCACACCCACGCACTCCTGGCCCCTGTAAATCCTACCTTTTGACATTGTAACACATGGCGCCAGACACATGACTCGGCAGTTAACAGTGTCTACTGCTCTCCCAGGTGACCCGAGTTCAGTTCCCAGCACCGTCACAAGGACTTGTAACTCCAGCTCTAGAGGACCCAATGCTTTCTTCTGGACCCCATGAGCATTTGCAGCATATGCCCACACAGCCACAGCCACATAAATAACAGTTTTAAGAGGCAAAAGAAAGTGTAACACGTGGGTTGTTTTGTATTCATCATTGTGGTCATCTCAGTAAATGTTCACACAGTAGGCATTATTATTGGCCAAGCTTTTGAATGTTTTGGACTGAGATTCACAGTTGGCAAACACATTTAGCCCTGAAACCCAGTACCTCCGTGAACGTGAGTACACATAACTGAACCAGGAGTGTCTGGACTTACCATTTATCATATTCCTGTTGCATTCGGGTATCTTCTAGTCATCTATTTCTTCTTCTTTTTTTAAAAGTTTCCCATTCATGGGTTGAAGCCTGCAATTTGATGCCCTTCTGTAAGGGATGCAAAGGAGAGTTTAGGACTTTAGAGAATGGCTATGCACATAAATATCAGGGACACAAAGCAAATAACCAACCGCCCACTGGAGGGGGCATGGGCACATCCCGTTGAGAGGGTAAAACGTGCATGGCCTCATGGTGCTGAAATGCGTCCCGAGGAGGAAATAAAAGGGCAGAGAGGCCAGGTGGAAGAATGAACAGAGTGTGCTGTCTATTTGAAGCTACCGTTACTAGCTGCGGCAGGATGAGGATGCATTGCAGTCCCGCCGCTTTGCTGCTGGAGGAGGCACCAGCATCTTAACCCGCTTGAAGATGCTTCCAAGGGCCAAGCGATTCTCTCTGCTTTTCAGTTCACCCACCAGAAGTCTGGCCGGGGT